GCAGCACAGCCCCGCGGGTGTCCCCTTAGGCGCAGGAAATCGGTGGCAGTCCGAAGTCCCCGTGGAATTTTGGGCAGTGCTCACGGTACCCCGGCTCTTGGGGGGTGGCGGGATGCTGCGGTTCCCCGTAGTTTTTTCTCCGGTCAGCCGGCGGGTGAAGAGCCGCCCCCCCGGAGCTCCACCCAGTTCGAAAAGCCCGCGCTGTGCAGAGTGGGCGTGATGCTCGGGCTTTTCTGATGTACGGCAGTTTTCGGGTTAAACAGGCCCTTTTTTTGTTTTTCACTCGGCGGAAGAAGTTTATGAACTTCCTTGGGTACGTGCTCGATTCCCTTCCGATGGGTTTTTCCACTTTCAATGCAGTTCTGTCTATTCTGAAGTCGTCCCCTCCCTGGAAATGGTAGGGCGAGCGAGGTCCAAGAGGCAGGGGTGTTTCGAGCTGTCTTTTGAGCTTCGGGTGCTGCCCGCCGGTCCTCGCCTTCGGTGCTGAGCCTTTTGCGCTTTGGAGCTGGGGGCTCGGTTCTCATTATGGCGACGGAGCAGCACGGAGGCAGCGCTGGGCGCGGTAGGAACCCACGGGATTCAGAGCCACTTGCTCGTCTCTCGCCACCTCCCTCCAGCCACATCTTCTTCGCAGAGATTCTGCCGTATCCCCCTTCCGTCGCCTTTACCGCAGCCAAGCGCTGCCCTTCGCTCCGCTTAGCTTTGCCCGGCGCCAGCAGTGAGAAGCGGTCGTGGGTAGAGACTGTTTCCTCGCTTAGTCACAGTGCAGGTACCATAGCTACCCCAGCGGGCAGGAGAACGGGGAATTTCGTGGTATCACTTGCTCAGCTCTCAACAAAGATGGTTGATCTCCAGTCCGTCGGTGTTAACCTCGTATATAGAAAGGGATTATCCGGAAACTGGGTCCCTGCAGGGTTTTTTTTCTGATACTTGTGTTTTTGCAAAGAACATCCACGTCCTAAATCCCTGTACTGAAAGGGAAAGAAATACAAAACTTCCTCTATTTTTAAGCCCTGTACCTCAAACAGTGTTCTTACTCCTCCTCTGCATTAGCTCTTGGGGTACTTCTAACTTCTCAGTCCTTGCTTGGGTTAATGACCTACTCCTCTATATACCACATAAACCTGCATACACATCCCACTTCTTTTTTTTCTGAAGTCATCGTTACCATATCCCTTCACGCCAGCATCCCGAATTCCTGAACTCAAATGCCTGTGCCCTTGTTTGCAATGGAGGTGTGCCTGCCAGCCTCTCATAGTTACTTTAAGGAAAGGGCATTGGGAGTCACACCCATTAATTCTCAAGCAGTTGTGCACAACTAGATTCACTGACCCCAGGAGCACGGATAGACGGTGATTTTGCAGCCTGCTGCACTAGTTGGGGGGGAGAAGATTTTGACTGGGTACAGTCAAACAGCAGGTACACTGCTGAAGGAAACATGATGTTCATACTTAATTTATTTCTTTACAGCTGAGTCTGAAAAGGCAAAACCCAGATACAATAGCATGGGCAAAACTGTGTCACAACATCCCTGCTAATTGACTTCACGTCTGCGGGACAGCCCTGGAATAAACATTTCGGTCTCTGGAAGGAGTTTGGGTAAGGACAGCAGTTCACTCTTGGCCTGTTGCAATTTGCCCTCCCCACTCACTTGGGATGGTATCAGGGTGCTTTTTCTTATTTCTGAGAGGTAAGAGGGAAAACTCAAATTATTATAATTGTTTTTTAAAGAAAATTCATTTGAAGCAGTTACCCACCTCAGATATTGCAGAGTCTGAGATTTAGAACATTGTTTTGTTTTGTCATCTTGTGATGATGATGAACTAGCCTGTTTCTGGACCTTGAGACAAGAAACATCTTCCTTGCCCATCATGCCCTTATCTCCATCTCTTTCTTAGCTGGATGTCCTTTTGAAAGTACCAATGAGCAAAAGCCTCCCCAGATATTTTCTACCACATTCAGGGGTTGTATTAATATCCCAAAATAAGATTGCATAGAAGACTTTTATATTATGTGATGGGACATCTCCATGGCCATACAGCTACTATTTACTGAACTCTTCATACAGGCCATGCCACGTGGAACAGGTTATGGACATTTGAAAGCGCTCAGGTTAGTTCATATTATGAGATCAGTAGAAGATTTCTTAAATTTCTACAATTCCATCACTGCATGGACATGTCCCTACACACTACAGACTAACAAAAATGCATATCACTGCCTGGAATAGAGGTAATATGGCAAGCAGAGCTTTATCATCTCAGTCACAAAATACATTTTATCTTTTGTGAATAGTTCTGAACTGGGAAGTAGATTGGAATCAGACTAATCAGGGGTTCATTGCAACAGTATGACACTGAGAACTGAGCTGCTGGTGGACAAAGAGGAAGTGGCTTAACCGGATGCAAAGGCCGATGTTTAGTGACCAGCTATACTTCAACAGAAAAAACAAATACCCACTTTATGATACTGAATGACAAGCTGCTCAAATATTAGAAGGAAAATCAGGAAAAAAAAAAGGGGGGGTGTGTTCAGAATTGAAAATGTTTACAAGGAATACCTGTTTTCATTGTTTTCTCTTCCATATGGTCAACTTTTTCTTTTTCATGGATTTACTTACTTAGTAACATTATGGCAGATGAATGCGAGTTAGATAAAGATTTACATATAGTAGATGAGACTCAGCAATATGGCAAGAATTCTGTTGAAGTAAAGTTTTTCCTCACAGACTAATAAATCCCTTTTTACTGATCAAGACTTCCATGTATATTATGGGCTTACGGAACTTTTCATCCGCATTAGTCACAAAACCAGATTGCCTGTCAGATTGCCACAAAACCAGGAAATGTCTGCACATGTATTTCTCTACGTCTATGTTCTCATAGTGGATTCAGTTAACTCCTGTGCTTTTCTGTGTATCTGTGTCTTTTACTGCAGTTGTCACGTGAAAGTGGTTTATTCTGCACAGCTTCAGCATGTCTTTGAAAAACAATAAAAAGGTCTCCTAGAGGATCACTTAAAAACATCAAAGCTGGAGTTTTATTTCAATTGAAACTATTCCAAAAATAATAAAAAAGCTTCTGCATTTGTTTGAGACGGAAAGCTATTTTTTTTTTAAAGGCTGAGTAATATTTCAGGTGTAAATATGTTTAAAATAGAGGTATGCTGTTGCACTTCCTCAGTAGTAGTGAGCACCCTAAGGTGAATAAAGCAGGAAAACATACCTTCACAGTATCCTGGGCTGAATAAATGGAGAAATGTAAATATGTACATTCTGTAACTAAGTTTACAGGCTCTCAAAAGGACGACCTGAGTGGGGAGGCAGCTACAATGTATTGACTGAAAGATGGAGACAGCCAGCGTGGAGTCCACAAACGTGAGAGTGCAATATGAATGTCATTAATACCAGACCGTATCTCTGCGGCTCATGTGGTAGTACAGATTTGGGCCAGCTGGATTTCAGGTACAGAACCACTTTTCACCTAGAAACCTTTGATTTAGCAAGGGTACACAATAGAGTTTTTCTGGTACAAGTTTCTTTTTTATGACCTAGATCACAACGCACACCGTCCATTGCTGGGCACTGGGGGATACCAGACACCTTTCTCTGTGAATATTTGTGTTCCCTCTTCTCCAGAACATGTTGTCAAAGCACAAAGTCATCAGTGTGACTCCTCCTGAGATCCCCATTCACTCTTCATGCTCAATTTTGGACAACTCTTTCTAGATTTGGAGTTGTGCTTTATTCTGATTTTACTTTACAGATTTTTATTTTTTGGATCTCTTTGCACTTCTATTCCTGTGCAAATTCTGTTCATCACTCCTGCAGGCCTCCTGCTGACATATCTGTGGATCCCCAGTCCTTGGTTTTCCCAATGGTTTGCTTTTCAGTGATTTCAGGCTGGTCTGCCAGGAGCTGTGGACAAAATGAAATGTAGAAAAGTAATCATAGGATTATTATTCTCATCAAACACTGAAAACAATAAAAATAAGCAAAATATAGGTCAGGACCTGCACTACCTGTAAGAAAAGTGGTTCCTGTTGTTCTTTTAGCAACCAGTGTATGCTGATAGTAGTCAACCAAGACTGTATAATACTCTGTCTCCATACTGCATATTCATGTTCAGCTGAATGTAACTGCCCTAGTAAAAATACACATTGCCATCACCACCAATGTTTTGCCACTTCACCCCTGCTTCTCTGTTTCTTCCGCCATACATTTACCATCCTCGTAATCTGTGCCCATTCCCTGGTTGCCTGCTTTTGGTCACTTGGTTCTTGACTCCTTAAATATTTTTTCTTTCTGTAAGGGAGGAAACTTTTCTATCATCAGCCTCTCTGTCCTGTCACGACCAAATCTCATGGGTTTGTGCACTCTTGAGGCAGGTACTTCTTTTATTAAAAGGGGATGTGTTTTAGACATAGTTCCTCTTCTCCCGTGTCAAAGAAGAGCTGAATAACTATTCCATGTTACAACTATCCCAAAAATCCTAGTTCCTGGGAAGGAAATGCAACCTACACAAGGTCCGTAAAGAATCCTTTTTTGTTTCTCCATAAAAGAAAGATTAAAGAAAATGTACCCATCTCCCTGATCAATATGATAGGAGAACTAGTGAAAATTGACATGGAAAAGGCTGAGATTATTCAACTTTTCTGCCTTCAGTTTTCATTGTCAATCACTCCTCCCACATCTCTCAAGTCCCTGAACCTCAAGGCAGGGACTGAGGTATGAAGTCTGTCCCATCATAAAAAAGCAGGTTTGAGATCATTTGAAGAACATGAACACTTACAAGTATATGGGTCCCGAGGAGCTGCATCGCAGGGTGAATTGGCACATTTAGTTGCTAAGCCACCCTTCATCATATTTGAAAAACCGTTGGAGTCAGGTCAAGTTCCCAGAGGCTGAAGAAAAGGGAATACCACAGCCATTTTAAGAAAACAATATTAAAAAGGACCCTGGGACCTACAGAACTCTCAGCCTCCCCTCAGTGCCTAGTAAAATGATGGTACAGATCCTCCTGAAAGCTGTGTTGGAACATATGAATGACAGGGAGGTCATTAGAGATAGCAGACATGGCTTCACCAAGGACAAGTCATGTCTGACAAATCTAGTGGCCTCCTATAATGGAGTGACTGTGTTACTGGATGAGGGAAGAGCAGCTGATGTCATCTACCTGGGCAGGTAAGGACTTAGAAATGGTCCCCCATGATGTTCTTACCTCTAAACTGAAGTGTGTATTTGATGGATGGACTGTTAAATGGATAAGGAATTCTGTGGATGGCTATATCCCAAGGGCAGGTAATGACTTAGAAATGGTCCCCCACAATGTTCTTACCTCTAAACTGAAGTAGTGTGTATTTGATGGATGGACTGTTAAATGGATAAGGAATTCTGTGGATGGCTATATCCCAAGAGTTACAACCAACGGCTCAGTGTCTAAATGGAAACCAGTAACAAGTGATAGAAACCAGTAATGAGTAGTGTCCCTCACAGGTCCATACTGGGACAAATACTGTTCAATATCTTCATCAATGACATAGATGTTGGTATGGATTGCACTCTCAGCAACTCTGTGGATAACACCAGGCTGAATGGTGCAGCTAATTTGCTAGAGGGAAGGGATGAAACCCAGAGGGACCTTCACAGGTTTTAGGAGAGGGCCCATGTGAATCCCATGAATGACCAGAAAAACAGAGGCAGGAATACTTTTCTCATGAAGAAAGGCTAAGACAGTCAGGGGATTTTAGCCTAGAAAAGAAAAGGCTATGGTGAGGTGCTATTGTGGCCTTTCAAGATATGAAGGGAACTTATAAGAACACAGAGACTTCTAACAAGGGTCTGTAGTGACAGGACAAGGGGAAATGGTTTTAAACTGAAAGAAGGCAAATTTGGATTGGACACAAGAAATAAATTTTTTATGATGAAATTGGTGGGACATTGGAGAAAATTGTCCAGAGAAGTTGTGTATGTCCCATCCCTGGAAATATTCTAAGTCAGGTTGGATGGGGTTTTCACTTGATCTGGTGAAATATGTCCCTATCCACAGCATGAGGGTTAGTCTAGATAATCTTTGAAGGTACCTTCCAATGCAAATGATTATATGAATCAAGTAAGCTTATAGTATGAAGGTCTAACTTAATCTTATCCCATTTAAACAACAACAACAAAAAAAACCCCAAACACAAAAATACCCCACACCAACCCAAAAATCCCCACAAAAAACCAAACCAAAACCGAAGTGTCTCTTTCCAGGACTGGATAACTCACCAGGGACTGCATGGGGAGGTGGTTTGGTGAAGCTCAGGATTGTCTGGTAGGGGTCTGTAAGTGGTGGGGAGTGAGGCTGTGATACAGTCAGATTCCCAAGGATTGAGCAGACTGAAGATCTGGATTTTCATGGCAGAGTGGCTTCAAGGAGCTCTGCAGCAGGTCGTGCTAAACTACCCTCTTAACAGCATCCTGGGTACTTGCTGTGTACTCAGCCATAAAACCTGCAGCAAATGTAACCCCAAGTGTCTTTCCTTACCAGTGCAGTATACAAGTTTCTTCCTCTCAAGCCTCCTGTGAACAACAGGGGACCTGACTACGGAGTGCCCTGTTTCTCACGCTGGCCTAATCTCCCCCAGACGTCCAGTTATGGTCCCTGAACTTCCCTACCTGGTAGGAGCAAACTGGTGTTAGGAAAGGGAGCACCATGAACTTAGCTGTGGCATCCCCGCTGTACTCCAGAATTATCACTGTAGCCCAATCTAGGATGCTGTCAAATTCATTCTAAAACAGGACGCTTATTACTGGTTTGAAGCTGCCCTGTTGGGCTTTCCTTTGGGCTTACGCTGAACAGATTGTGCATGAACAACATGACACACTGCACTGCTTTAATCTGCCAGTGAGGTGCCACTGGAACGGCGATTTCTCTGCTAGCAGATGCAACATCTGTATCTGTGGCCTAGGCAAAGATAGAGAATAATTATTGATTAATGTTACATTGCATTCTTATGAAAAGAATCGTTACATAAATCTGCTCAGCTTGGAAGGGGGAAAAAAAAAACCAAACCAAACCAAACAACGCCCATGAGAGGGCAGCAGATGCTCAATACTGGAAACTTTCATCCTTCTGACCGTTTTCAGCTCGAAAGGCAGCTGCCGAATGATTTTTCCTAGATACTATTTCTTGTTTTCAGCAGTAAAACCTCGGAAGATTTTCATCCCAAAAAGAAAGCAAAACCAGAGCTCAATATTTTCCCCTGAAGGACAAAACCACACTTCCTTTAACATACTCAATTTTTTCAATCTGTGTAAAACATATCTATATTATTGTCTGCACACACAAGAATAGATATTATTGTAAAGATATTAGTTCGAAAGAAACATTCTACCTGGGAAAAAAAAAAACAAACCCCAAAACAGAGTGAAGTACGTAAGGGTTAAACTCTCGATTGGCATACCTTTACAGCTAAACTCTTTTTGAGAAAACATTCAAAAATGGCGGGAAATGGAGATGAGAAAGAAATAAAGTGAGGGGTCGAATTTCTCAGAGGCACGATTGAACAGATTTTGCTGCAAGATGTTCCATCATGCTGCATTAAAAAAAAAAAAATCACCAAAAACCCCCACCAAACCAAACCAAAAAAAAAACACAAATGGAGCAACTGTTTAAAACACTGAAGTGACACTTGAGAATCGAGGAACCCAGGTGAAACTGCAATACATAAAACATACCCATATTTTAAAATAACAATTACAGAAAAAAAGTAAAGAATAATTTAAGTGATGCACTAACCAGGACGCTTTTCAATGACCGAGGTTTCACTTCTAACGGGTTACGATATACCCGAAGATTTTTAAAGACAAATAAAATATTGCACAGAAAGACCCAATCTCTTTGCTATCGGAACAAAACGAACGTACCAAAAAACGGCAGCACACCGAATCGCTTGTGCCGCGGGAAGGGAAACTGGCACAGCACCCTCAGTTTTGTGCTAACGGGGCGGGCGATAGAGCGAGAAGATCCCGCGGGTGCGAGCCCCTAGCCCCGCCCCCCTGCTCTGCAGTCCCCAACCAGGTCCGCCCCCAACACATAAAGGCCGCCGCGCCGACCCACTCTCGCCACTCTCCGTCTCCGGGGGTCCGCTGTCTGGCAGAGGCAAGGGCGGGAAGGGGCTCGGCAAGGGGGGCGCCAAGCGGCACCGCAAGGTGCTGCGCGACAACATCCAGGGCATCACCAAGCCGGCCATCCGCCGCCTGGCTCGGCGCGGCGGCGTGAAGCGCATCTCGGGGCTCATCTACGAGGAGACGCGCGGCGTGCTGAAGGTCTTCCTGGAGAACGTCATCCGCGACGCCGTCACCTACACCGAGCACGCCAAGAGGAAGACGGTCACGGCCATGGACGTGGTGTACGCCCTCAAGCGCCAGGGACGCACCCTCTACGGCTTCGGCGGCTAAAGCTTTTCCGTGCAGAACTTCTCGAAAACCCAAAGACTCTTTTAAGAGCCACCCACCTCCTCCTCAGGAGAGCTGTGACATTTTATCTCCGAAGAACATTTGAAGCATCCTCTTGAGTTTCTAAAATAAACACTGTAGATTGCAGTCAAGATACGAGAAATGCGATTTAACGTTTGAATTTTCCGGTTAGTGACGAAGTTGTTTTGTTGTGTGAAAGACGCTTCTCTCTGTGTACTTCCAATTCCCTAAAACGTGACCAGCTGAAAAATATTTGAAGTGTTCTTTGTAACCAAAACAACGTTTTCTTTACCGTTTCATTTTAAACTTTGGAGTTTTAAACGTAATTATCTGGAATACTATTCAGTACCTTGTATTTCAAAATTTTCATTTGAGTGAGAGTAAACTACCCACAGCGAGGATGAAGAGGACACCAATTTATCCTGTAGGGGAAAATTACGAAAGTTGCTCCGAAATTGTAATTTCTTTCTGGTACTTCTAAATAAATTTTTTTTTCCTTTACTATAACCTGCCTTTAGTTCTTTTATTCAGGATTTTAAAAATCACATTAAAAGCTAATTCAGAAATAGTTTCTTATAGTACATATTTTGCTGGGGGTGGGGGGAGCGGTGGGGGCCATGAACAAACACATTTCAAGAAAAAGGCTCAGACGGAGCCTCATGAGGAGGTTTTCTTTATTCCGGCCAGCAGCGAATGTCCCATTGGGGTTGGGCTTGTAGAATATCGGGGTTCTATTTCCTCAATCGACGGAGGAAAACACTGCAAAACCAGTTTTTCAGGTTTATACAAAACTCTGGGTAGCCTCTGAGCACTGGTAAACAAGGTCTATCACTAAACACTTGCGGTCTCTTCTGGTTTTCCCTCAGCCTTCATGACCAGGTGGAAATTAATTGAGTAATTCTCTATTCCTTGTCAGGTCTGAATTCCACAAAGAAGTCATTGTCTTAGTATTCTCCAAGCCACGACTTTACTTGAGGGTAATTAAGATCTCTCATGGCAGATTTTCATAGAGAAAAGGAAACAACATGAGGGGGGAAACGAACAAACCAACCCCCAAAGTTAACAGATGCATCTCGACTCTAATGCTGCGTTACAGCCGCAGGCTTCCATTGGGAATCTTCAGAGCCTCTCTCCGTGTTTTGAGGCACAGGGCGATATTTATCCCTTGCAGCTGCGGGGATAGGGTGTTTGTTACTATACGGGGGGAGATCTGTGCGGCATTAGAGGAACTTTCCTCTCCTTTTGTCATCAGCCCTTCAAAAAGAAGTAACTGCTGAAATAATTTCCAGTTCTAAGAACCGCTCCTGTAATTGAGCCTCCACACGGCTGCGAATCTGTAAGGAGCCTGGCAGAGAGGGAAAGCCCGAGAAGGAATGCGGGCATTCTTGTCTGCATTAACACCCCCCATCCCCGGCCTTGGGTGCGACTCGGTGTGGGGGTGGGAGGGTGCCGGCAGCGGAGAATGCGGCTTCCTCGGGCCCGGGCTGGGATTGTAAAGGCACCCAATGAGGTCGCGTTCCCTTTGTCCAATCAGAGACGAGGCGGCTCTATAAATTCCGGCGCTGAAGCGCTTATTTTACTCAGACCGCTCCGTAGCACGGAAGGTGGTGGAGTTGGAGAGCGATGGCGCGCACGAAGCA